CACCCGCTTGCACCAAGACCAGGCTTTTATGCTCTCTAGACTGTCCCATTTCAGTGCCGGGGTAGTTCTGCTGTGGGTCTATTCCAGTCCCATGATGGGACCTCCCTTTGTGGGGTATTGGGAACTATGGAAGCCAAAGCCTGAGTCAAGTCATTATGACCGATGCCCAGGAGTAGTTATATTTCAGAGTCAGTCACTCCCAAATACTAGGAGCTCAGCCTTAATGGTCTCTCTGTGTTTCAGCGAGGAGCATTGCTCTATAGTATATGGAAAGGCTATCAGGGAAATTGAAAAAGCAAGTAATCCACTACAAATACAAAACCCAGACTTACCAGAAAGATTTGGCTTATAAGTAACCAAGACTGACTCGGGGAATTGTCATAATGAGGGGTAAAACACAAAGGAAATATTAAAGATAAACTCAGGGGATTAGGGACATACGTAGAATGATGGCATCCATTTGCGGGATATTAAAAGCAAAGACAAAAATGTAGTATGTGAATAATACCTGAAGACAGTAGAAACAAAGGCCAGGAGACCTGGTCTCTGGTAAGAAGCCTGCCACCACGGGAGAGAGAGATGGCAGTTAGGACAGAAAAGGGACGCTGTGACCATGATGGTTGGAAATGATGACTCTGGACACAACCTGAGTGCTGAAAGCAGGCAAAGGGATCTCCACAGAACACGTTCAGTCTTGCAAACCACAGTGCCTGAAAGGAAAATGGTGGGGGGAGGGGAAGGGAAAGGGAGGGAGAGAGAGAAGAAAAGAGAGAGAAGACCGGAGGGGCAGGGCAGGGCAGGGGTGGAAACTGGGGTTGTTGGTTGCAGGACGTGTGCACCGGTGAATGGATGTTGGGCATCATAGGACTAAAACTCAATCACGAACACTTTGTGACCGTATCTCAGGTATAAAAAAATTAATAACACAGTCAAAAAATACAATCTGGGGCCTGGAGAGCGCTCAGGGAGTATGCTTCACACGTAGGAGACCCAGGTTTGAGTCCGGGCACCGCATAGTCTGTCTCCCCAGCACAGCCGAATGTGGCCGTACCCCCAAAACGCAGATCTAGGAGCCTGTGACCGGCTGACTCGCGCTCCAAACACGCGGTCTTCTTATTTGCCTTCTTCCCCTTCTTAGTAAGATATTAAATCGGACCCATCATTTCTCCGCGTAAATGTTCTAGAATGCTTCCGTCTCATCCTAGTCCCTTTGCTTGGTAGTTGGCACTCCAGAGTGTCCCACTCACTGTCCTGCTTTCTTGGTCTTCTTTTTCTCGTGTTAGGCACTGTCCCAGGGAAAGGGTTGCTTTGAAGTCAAGAAGATTCTAGCTTCATCTGTCAACTCTGGCTCTGTGAACTTATACAAATGAACATCTCCTCCTCCTCCTCCTCCTCCTCCTCCTCCTCCTCCTCCTCCTCCTCCCTTATACAAATGAACATCTCCTCCTCCTCCTCCTCCTCTTCCTCCTCCTCCTCCTCCTCCTCCTCCCCCCCCCCTTTCCTCTCCCTCCTCCTCTTTCCTCTTTCCTCTTTTTGTCAGAAAAGAGATTTGGGAAAAGACACAACTAGTGAAGTCAGGTAGTTTTCGACGTTTTGTTGTTTTGCAGGGAAGGGGATGGCCTTCCCCCAGAGCTGCTGGAGGTAGTTCCTTGGGCTTTCTGCATGCAGAGTATACCTAACTGCTTTCCTTTGAGCCATCCCCTCAGTCCCTAATTTTTGTTTATTTTTTGTTTCTTTGGTGCCAGGGATGGAACCCAGGGCCTCATGTTTGCAAAGCGCATCCCCTGTAACTGAGCTGCACCTCGGCCTCCTGACCTTCCTTTTCTCGACTCTGATAGGGGAACAGTGAATATTATTTCAAGGAGTGTAAAATATATACGGTCCACGTCATGCCCTCTAAAGTACTTGCTAAGTTTAACTGGACATGCCGACTCTGAGAAGAGCACAACCCTGAGGAGCTGGACATCCTCTGTTCCGTAGTTCTGTGACAGTTCTTTGGTGTTTTGCAAGAGTGTCTCGCAAGGGACTGTTTCAGAAAGTCCTTAGCAGAGAGCATCCTCATCAGGTATTTACAGTCCGTTTATACTTTCTCGTCTAGAGACGATTTACCAATCAGGATCACCTTTACCAGGAGCAGTGTTGCCTAGCAATATAATTAATGCTACTATCTACCTAGTTTCCAGGGCAACAGAGCTAGGTGGTTAAAGCAAAGGTCAGATTATCAAGCAATATGGAAAAATGTTTGTTAACGCTTTCATTCCAGTATGTGACAGGCTCACTCGGGACCTCACGTGGTTCAAAATTTACAGTTTATTCATTCTGTCAGTGAACGCTAGATGGAGCTAACAGAAATGACTCCTGAGCACTGAGCCTGGACTCACCCAGGAGCCCAGTCAAGTATGACCTAAAAAACAAAAACAAAAAGAAAAAAATGATGCATTCACATATAGCACAGAGGTAGGGCGTTCGCCTTACACGCGGCCAACAGGGCTGACCCGAGTTCGATTCCTCCGCCCCTCTCGGAGAGCCCGGCAAGCTACCGAGAGTATTCGATATGCCAGACACAGTAACAACAAAGTCTCCAATGGAGACGTTACTGGGCCCGCTCGAGCAATTTAAAACATAGACAAAATTACTAGTGCTTTATTATGGAGACAGTATACTTTTATTGAGAATAAGACCACGGCTGTGTAGTTTTTTTCACTCAAACCATTTTAAACCACCTGCTACTGTTTCTATAGTTTCAGTTTCTTGTAAATGTAATGAGAAGTTAGACACTTTTTTTTTTCTTTTTGAGTCACTCCTGGCTCTGCACTCAGGAGTCACTCCTGGCAGTGCTCAGGGGACCATATGGGATGCTGGGAATCGAACCCAGGTCGGCCGCGTGCAAGGCAAACACCCTACCCGCTGTGCTATCTCTCCAGCCCCAGAAGTTAGACACTTTTGGAGAAATAGGATTGAAAGTTCTTCTAGATTTTTATTTTTCCTCCTTTCTAGTAGGGTACAGTTAATTATGTATACCACACCAAAATTGCTAGGAGATTGTGGTTTTTCTCAAACTACTAGCTTTTACCAGATTTAAAGTTCTTCATCTTTGGAAGAATGGCAACTGAGATTGCCTTGGTTTACATAGGCAATATATGTAATTGTTTGTTTGTTTTTAGTTTGGGGCCTATACCAGTGGTGCTCTGAGCTACTGTAGATGCTGAGCTTAGGAATCACTCCTGACAGGGCTCCGGGGGCCGCCTGAGGTTTTGGGGATTGAACTTGGGTTGACCGTGGACAAGGCTAGCACCTTACTCCGTGGTCTTATCAAGTTCCTACACACAGTTGAAAACACAGTGAACTAAACAAGAACCACGTGTATAACTTCTGTAAATCTATAGTTATTCAGAATTGTCTATTAAGGTCATGGAAGAAATTACAAAAGAAACGCTTAGTTGGTTTAAAAGTGAAGTTATATCAACCAAATTAAAAGTCAGTGACTGAAAAAAAAATAACCCCGCTGATCATGAATAATAGACAGGGCTAAGATTTTAAATTTAGAAGCGTACTTCCACAAAGTTAAATGAACGTACTGTCACAACAGGAAAATAGTAATTGTTCATCATCACAGAGGAAGCACAACTATCAGCAAAAAAGGAGGTTAAGTTCAATCTCACTAGTAATTATTAAAGAATTTCAGAGCAAAGCAGTATTGCAAACATTTTTCAGCCATTACACGGGTAAAGTGTTTCTCTTTGAGGAAGGGACGTTGAAAGATGATAGATGGGTACAGTCTTTATGGAAAGCAGTTTTTCCGAAAAGCATCTGTTGATCTTTAAAAAAGTGTGCCTGTGTCCCAGCAGATGACTCACAGGACTGGGCTCACACTTTGCTTGCAGGAGCCCTGGATTAGAGCCCCTGCAGCCTGTGGGCCAGTGGGCACCACTGAGTACTTTCAGATCTCTTTAAATGCATACCATTTGTGCTAATGAGTGTATGTTTATAAATTTTCCTCCACGGAATCCTTTCTGTGTCCAGAGTTTCTAAAAGGGATGTTTATCACAAGGTTGTTGAAAACTAAATACTTGAAGCATTAATATGGTCACGTGGAAGAATGACCTAAAATGTTTTTCATGACTTAGCATTGAATAGAGTCATTCGGAATCAGGACTGGGTTCTGAAAGAAGGTAAAGTGACACGGATGATAACCTTTTCAGTAACTGCATTGCCTAGGCTGGAGCAGTAGTATAGCATTTGCTTGGCATGCAGCTGGGACCTTGGTTTGGTCTCCAATACCACAGCTGGTCCCTGGAGCCCAGCCAGGAGTGATCCCTGAGTGCAAAGCCAGGAGTAAAGCCTGGGCACTGTTGGGTATGCCTCCAAAACAAACAAGCAAAAATCAGGATGCAGCTAAATAAAACAATTGGGAATAGTTGTGCGTGCATATTTTCTCTTCCCATACTTTATTTGGGTGTGTGTACAGCTGTGTCTCTTGGGAACATCACGACGATCACGACCATCCTGTTGTTCGTTGATTGCCTCGAGCAGGCCCCAGTAACGTCTCCTTCGTCCTAGCCCTGAGATTTTTTTAAAAAGTGCCATATTCAAGGCTCTTTCAGAGTTAGGAGAATGAGACCCGTCATTGTTACTGGTACTTGGCATATTGGGTACGCCGCGTGGAGTTTGCCAGACTCTGCTGTGTGGGCAGGTTACATTCGGTAGCCTGCCAGTTTGTCCAGAAGGAAGATGGCAAGGAATAAACCATGTGAAGAGTATATATAATTCCTTCCTGTCCTTGGCTAATGAAAAATGGGTAACTTTTGCTTTCTTGATACCTCTCTGCACTTTCAAAACGGCAGTGAGTATATGATATTACTTTCATAATGGGGAGAAAATTAACACTGCAGGTTAGGTCATTTATGAGTTTCCTCTATCTTACACGCTTATTTAATTAAAAAGATGTTACCATTCCTTTGTGCTTTGTCAGAAATCACTTTTTTTTCCCTTTCTCCTAGGAAGCTCCTCAGGGTGCTCCCGCTTCCTAGTGAGGACTGGGGAGCTCTGGTTGGAGAATGGTGTTGTCATCCTGACCCCTTTGCCAATAAGCCACTGCTTCCACAAGCCAACGACTGTTTCACTGGGGACTCCTTCTTCTTGGTGAACTTGAAAAGTGATTCGTGGCAGCCAAGGCCTGAATTAGGCCCAGCAGAGACACACTCTCTTGATGCTGAGGATCATTTTAAGTTGGTAAAAAAAAAAAACAAACAACATTTTTTTCCAAGATAAATTCTAATTTAGAGATGGGAGGAACTGGTTTCTCTAGTATTTTTTTTTTCCAGCGCCAGGTATGCAGATCTAAAGGCCCAGGTCCATGATTTTTAATTGCTCCTATTCTCCCGTTCAGCTCTTTTGATGCTGGAAAAATATAGGGTCAAACCAAACAGTTCCCAGGGCTGGAGGAAGAAAGGCAAGAGGACTTCATGCATGCAGTCGGGCGTCATTATTTTACAAACCTGAATGCCCCATTTTCTTGGTTTTCGGACAGTACCCTATAATCTGTGTACATTTATTCTTCAAGTCTGATTTAAATTCAAACTGTTCTCTTGCTCCAGGGTATCTACTAGTCATTAGACCTAGGTATTTTACTGTGTCTGCCCATGGACTAGACTTGTGCTGACGTTATAAAAGCAGATGCCATCAAGGAAAAAGAGGAAATGAAGGAGTCCAAGCATAGAAATAAAGCTTGTGCTGTAGGCTCTCAGTTGATGCTTGACAATGTGAGGTCAGGCGCCTCTTGCTATAAAAATTGCTTTAGGGAGAAGCCAATTTCCTCTCTGAGCAGGGAACAAGCGGTCTACCTTTTTTTAAAAAAAAAGAAAATCAATGACATTGACTTGGTTCTTGTGAGAAATCATTACCCTGATGGCAACTCAATACAGATGTGATTTAAAAGTAAAGTAAATCATTACCAGAGAATCATATTAACATCTGATTATTGGTAGGAACAAAAGCGTTGCATGTTAAATTACACTTAGAATTCATTTAATTTTTTGTAATGAGAACTGAACCACTTCAGGATATTCACAGCAGTTGGGCAGCTCTTGAGGTTGTGAGGTATTTATAGAACAATTTTCTGTCTTAAATAAAAGATTAAAGTTTGTCAAATATCACTTACAATTTGAAATTATTGAAGTCTTGTCTGTCTTTGACCATAAAATCTCTTTCTAAATATGGATCAGTTTTGAATTATAGCACTTTATTTGGGCTGGAGCGATAGCACAGCGGTAGGGCGTTTGCCTTGTGTGCAGCCAGCCCGGCCGAGCTGGGTTCGATTCCTCCACCCCTCTCGGAGAGCCCGGCAAGCTACCGAGAGTATCTCGCCCGCACGGCAGAGCCTGGCAAGCTACCTGTGACGTACTTGATATGCCAAACACAGTAACAACAAGTCTCACGGTGGAGATGTTACTGGGCCCGCTCGAGCAAATCGATGAACAACAGGAGGACCGTGACTGTGACCAAGCACTTTATTTCTGCTCAGTTTTTATTTGTTTTTGTTTGTTTGTTTGTTTGGAGTGTCCACATCTGGCACTGCTCAGGGATTACTCCAGATCTGCACTCCGAAATCAGCCCTGGTGGTACTCGGGCGACCATATGGTATTAACCCAGGTTGGCCATATACAAGACAAGCGCCCCACTCTACTATTTGTAATTTTCTGCATTATTTTTAAAAAGACAAATGCTAAAAAGTTAATATAAAAAATTTATAATTATATTTAAAGTGGTCAAATTAAAATTACTGTAACCTAAGTGTACATACCAACCCATTACTGTCTTATATGTGTTTTAACTTGCATTTTTATAATTATGCTGTTCATTTTTTTAATGTTTGGAAAGTGAGAGTGGAAGAAATTACATGAGAGTCACCATGATTTTCCTTCTGAATTGTCTATAAACTGTGCCTATACGATGCCATTTTCCAGAGTTTCTCTTAATTGTAAGCAACCATCCCATGATTTAAAGGAGAAACCTTCATATTTAGACTTTCTATTTAGACGTTTTAGTTTGGGGTATCAAGGAGACTATGGAAAAATATTGTCCTGATAAGCTGTTGTTTATAAGATTGTTTCCAAGTTAGCCTGGATGGAAGTTTCACTTTAATTGCATTTTGCAGCTGTTCAGAGAGTATGCCTATGACCAAAAATAGTAACCTAAATTTGGAGAGACTGCTTAAACAGTGCTCTGGAGGTTCCTGTGGGAACCAGTCTGCCCTATGCTATTGAAAACCTATTTTTCATAACACCAGGCTAGCCATGGAGCAGGGTTTTGAAATGTCATATGGTGACACAGTATCCTAATAGTATCTCTTGGGACACTTAAAAAAAAAATTCCTTTTGGGGGGGCGGGTAGGACTTTACCAGTGGTCCTTAGAAACAGAGCAGCACAAAAGATAAAAATAAGGACAGAGGGCTAATCCACTTTTCCAAGCAGCAGGGCCACCTTTCAGGTGTATTGATCTAATCAGTATACAGCAGCGTTTCTTTGATGATTGTTCTGTAGAGTTCTCGCACTATTAGGCTCAACTTCACGGCACAACTTTAAATTTTTTTTATGTGATGTGCCTCCAAAATGAAAAATCCATACCTTGTAACAATAGAATGATAAATATGGCATCTTAGTCTTTTATAAAATTTGTAATCTATATTTAAGAGTATAAGTTCACAGAGTCTCCTATTTTTGTGGAGCAAATGAAATTGAATTTTGATTATATTGCAGTTGTATCATCAATAGATTATAGTGTTTACAGCATATGACTAGTAGCTTTATCTCTTTTTTTTTTTTTCTTTCCTTGGGCATTTAGCAGTATTTATTGATTTGGTAACAAGTACTTGTTTGTTTTGCCAAATCCATGAGGGTCCTTTTAAAATTTTCTCAGAAAGATGTTGACGTTTGTAAATATGCACAAATATCAGAAATATGATCATCAATATACCAGTCATCTGATTGGTGAAATAAGCTTTGTCTGTCGCTATTTTAATATTCTGCTCAGGTGTTTTTAAATCCCACATATTATGTCACTTTATCCTTATGCATTACAGCATGTACATCCAAAAATAGGTCTTTTGTTTTGTTTTTGTACATAATCGGTGTTACTGCCACAACCGAAAAGTTGACAACTGTTATTTTGATATTATCAGGCCACAGAATTTTTACTGTAGCACAGTAGCACTGTCCTCTCCTTGTTCATTGGTTTGCTCAGGCGGGCACCGGTAACGTCTCCATTGTGAGACTTGTTTTTACTGTTTTTGGCATACCGAATATGCCACGGGGAGCTTGCCAGGCTCTGCCGTGCAGGTGGGATACTCTCTGTAGCTTGCCAGGCTCCTGAGAGGAGCAGAGGAACCTGGGTCGGCTGTGTGCAAGGCAAACACACTCTGTTTTCGCTCCAGCCCACAGAATTTTTACTAGCTTCTTTTAAATGTATCTTTTACTTACTTGGTTTTAAATCAATGTCTTGAAAACATTTCAGAGTTAATAAGAATGTTTCGTTTCATTTCTTCAAAATGGGATCCTTTAAGATATTATCTGAAATAACCTAATTTGGAAGCCAATGGATAAATTTTTCTATAGGAAAGCACTGCCAAAATCTAAGGCTAGAATTGAGTATACCTGACTAGGAAACTCCCATTTTCCTGCAACCCTGCCTGAACCTGAACAAATTGGCACTTGTCTTGCTGCCGACGTCCGTGACTTTTGACTTTTCTTGATCTCTAAAGTAAGAATATATCTTTTTAGTGAAAACCTAAGTGCAGACACACCGATTTCAAATAAGTTTCGTAAAGAAGCACTTTCTTGTCCATGTAGGTATATTTAAATGGAGGTCCTGTAACCCATTTGATTAATCCATGGACTGCTTCGGAACATACTTGGCCTACTGCTTAGGAGCACAGGCTGTAATTTAGAAAGAACCTGGATTCAGCAGTGAGCTCTTATCAGATATTAGCAGCAGATCCACGGAACTCAGTTTAAATTTGAGAAGGCATTAAATTCATTGAATATGCATTTACGTTTGAGAATGATTTTAACGCATCCTTTCGGAAAATATTTCTGCAGGGAGAACATGTGGTTTATACTGATCAGATAAGACTTAGCCTTCGTTTAACTCAGACACTATCCCACATCGGAAAAAACTCTTCTTTTCTCACTTAGACATGCCCTCTGTTCTATGGTTTCTCAAAAGAAGTGACTTCCAATTGAAGAACTTCCTTCTCCCTGCCCGCTGTTAAGTGGTTTCTGCCTTGCGGTAGGATAGTGCTCGGGTGCAAGTAATGTAAAACCTTAGCATAGTCATTTCTTTGGTTATGAAGAGTGTTCTTTTATTTGCTTAATGCTGAGAAGCATGCTAGCTATTTCAGTTTCTTTCCCTAACGGTAAATTTGGATTTTTGAAGTGTATAGGAAAGCACCGCCAAAATATAAGACTGTAAGTGACCATACCTGACTAGGAAACTCCCATTTTCCTGCGACCCTGCCTGAACCTGAACAAATTGGCACTTGCCTCGCTGTCAACATCTCTGACTTTTGACTTTTCTTGATCTCTAAAGTGAATCTTTCAGATTTTGTCCCAGAAGACTCCCTAACTTTCCAATTACGGTACATATTCTAAAGTGGAAACATAGACTTATGAATGAGTTAGATCATTTTTGGTTCTGATGAGCGATTATACATTATGGGTTACTGTTACTTAACTAACATGAGTTCATTTCTGATTCTTCCTTTTTTCAGACTCCTTTATTGGAGCAAGTCATGTTCTCTCTCTCTCTCTGTCTCTCTCTCTCTCTCTCTCTGCTTTTTTTTGTGTCCAGCACGTGCCAATTCTAAATGATATGGATATCTTGAAATAGTTTCTAGAAATTGTTTGTCCACATTTCGATTATCAAAAACTGAGTAGGTTTGGGAAAAGATTGAGCCCCTGTGTGTTCTGTCTGCAGCTTTTTAAAAAAAGTTCTTTAAAAGACTTTGTGCATGTGCTAAATGTATTCCCAGTATTTAGCAGAGGGCAAAATAAGATGTAAAGTTCAATGTATACCCTAGAGACTATGTTAAAATTATATATTCCTTTTAAGAAAAACTGGATGACATTTAAATGACATTTTTCTGTTCTACAGAACCCGAAGGCAAATACCAAAGTAATTTGTAAGCGCTGCAAGGTAATGCTGGGAGAGATGGTGTCATCAGGTAAGAATTTCACAATAGAAAAGTCAAATAGATTCTTGTTAAAAACCAGTAGCAGCAACTTTTATAGGAAATTTGTATGAAGGATAGATTATTGAAATGTGTTGCAAATTGATCCCTTTAGAAAGAGAAACCATATAACATGGCATTTAATGCGTTAAGAAGTTTGTATGCTTTGGCCGTTGGAGTATTAAGTTTTAAGCATCAGATAGTTGTCTCATTTTAAATATTTTATTTCTTCTTTGTGGCTGTAAAGCAATAGTGAAACATTTGTACTTGGGTCTGTCTTTAAAGAGAATTGAGACTTCTTTCTTTCTTTTTTTTTTTTGACACGGTCACAGTCATGGTCCTCCCATTGTTCATCGATTTGCTCGAGCGGGCCCAGTAACATCTCCTTCGTGAGACTTGTTGTTACTGTGTTTGGCATATCGAGTATGTCACGGGGAGCTTGCCAGGCTCTGCCGTGCGGGCGAGATACTCTCGGTAGCTTGCCGGGCTCTCCGAGAGGGGCGGAGGAATGAAACTAGGGTCGGCCAGATCGGCCGCATGCAAGGCAAACACCCGACCCACTGTGCTATGTTTGAAATTTGGTTATTAAAGTTTGGGTCTCATGATTTCAGTGTTTGTTGACTCTGTTTGGGTATTTACTGCTGTCACTCCTTAACACCACCTATGTACTCCGGATCCCTGCCCCCATTGATTCTCATCTATCTCCTCTCCCTTTTTCTGTCACTCTCTTTCTTTCTCCTCCCTACATGCTGGGGCCAAGGGTGATCTTCGCATCCTGCCATAAATCTTTATGTTTCCTTAGCCAGTTACTCAAAATGCCACATATAAGTGATGCCATTTGGTGTTTGTCCTTCTTCTGGCTTCTTTTAACACGTTATCTTCCAGTTCCAAAGCAGATTGCTTGATTTCATCATTCCTTACAGTTGTGTAGTATTCCATTATGTATACATACACACATTCCATTGTATAGATACAATGGAAAGTATATTTATATACATATATATCTTTATGATCCACTGATCTGTTGAATCAACGTCTAGGTTGATTCCAGATCTTAGCTATCACAGTGAGTGTTGCAGTGACTAGTGTTGAGCTTATATCCCTTGGAACAAATGCTTTTTGGTCCTGGGGGTAGATACCCAGAAGAGAATTGCTGGGTCTTAGGGTAGCTCCATTTTAAAAGAACTCTCCATACGGTTTACCAAAGGGGTTGAACCCAACAGCATCCCCACCAGCAAATGGATGAGAGTTCCTTTTTCACCAGACTTTCGCAGACACAGACTGTTTCTGTTATTTTTGATAGGTGCCAGACTCATCAGTGTGAGATGGTATCTCATTGTCATCGAGGCCTTTTTCTAAAATGCAACATGTTTAAAGAATTGTTTGCCAGAGGTGACCAGTATATTTGATTTTCTTGGCTGTTACCTGCCTCAGGGCTGTATTTTGAGATTAGGGTCAGAGAGAACCTGTTGAAGTATGAAAAAGGACATTCAGAATTTTACGCTCTATCCTTGGTCTTTTGCCATTAGTTCTGTGGGTTTTTTTTTTTAGCGTAGATAATATGTTAGATTACTTTATATTAATGAAAATCCTGATGCCTCATTATTTGTAGGTATTTTGAGCCATGTGTCAAAAAAGAGTACAGGTGATGTGTTAGTTTTGTGGGTCACGAATAATTGTTTTTAGTAGAATTGGAAGCTAGGCCTTAATTGAAGCTATTATATGTGAGGCTAGGCAGAGGGTGCTATTTTTGTTTGTTCGTTTGTTTCAAATCATCAGAATCTTATAAACTGTTGGTTGATCAGAGATAACAGGGATAAAAATGAAGGAAACCCTGAGTCAAAGCAAAACGTTCTCCAGCACCACACAGAAAACATGAAACATTGGTTAAATAAAGGAAAATGATTTAAAAACTTTTTCTTTCCTCCCTGAAGCTCAGTTAAAATTAAAGTTCCTCTTTTTATTTAAAAGTTGTCTGAAGTTTTGGAAAGTTGCTTCAGTTAAGGAATAAAACAGAGACACAGTCCCTGAGCCAGGACCAGAGGCAGTGGCGATGTAAACAAGAGATCCTCAACAGAGCTAGTTTGCAGCTGTGAAGCTGCGCCGGGCGAGGGATGCACTTGGCAGCCTGGAGGAAGCTACAGCCTCGTGTCTGCAGAAGATCCGAGGCTTAGCAGGGAGCGGCAATCACTCTCCAACTCCAGGACTGGTCTGACTTTGGAGGCAGCAGGTAGCAGGGAAGACGGCGTGAGACAAGATAGGGTGGTTCTTTCGTTGTTTAAATACGGACCTGAGTCCCCCATGTCGCCTCTTCACACTTCTAATGATGCAAGAGTGGGAGGAATACTGGAGAAAAGACTCGCAAACTGATTCTTGGCGATCCCTCGGTGGTAAATGAGCTTATATTCAGCCCTGTTACACTCAGCAAGCCTTGTCCTTGCTCCCAAGAGCTTCCTCTCGTCATTTTACTACTTTTATTACATTTGATTGGGTTTCAAAGCCTCACCAAATATTTGAGAAATCAAAACAAATAATCAACCCAATACTCAGTCAAGGCGCAGAGAAGAAGCTGTTCTTTCGTATAGAAGAGAGGAAAATCTTTTTTAAAAAATGTCCTTGGAGACATTTTGCCTCTATATTACCTCTATAATTCAGAGAATGTAGAATTAAAAATGTAACACTTGAAAAAAAAAACTAATCAAAGGCCCAGACAATAAAAATAATGAACTATTTCAGAAAACCAGCCTGAAAATTGGAAAGGCAATGTACTTTTTAAAAAATCATCATGTAAATTCCCTGAAGATTCGGTCTAGTGTTGATCACATTTACTGTTGTAGTCTTGGCATCGGAATAATACCTGGACTGCAGCGGGTGCCCAGTGAATATGAATCGAGTCCTTTAGGACAATGCAACATCTAGCAACTAGAAATTCTACAAAGAGAATAAAGACAACAGGATGTAGGAGATTGAAGAAAAATTCGCAAAAGCGTACTGCAAGGCCATTTTCTGAAAGGGCCCATGATGGACCTAACCTGTCAATGGTCATGTCAGAGAATGGTTCCTCCGTGTAGTGGAGTAATTTCTGAATGCCAAGGATGATGTTTCCAGTTAGTATGATATATTGGGAATTAGAAGGGTACTGAGCTTCTTTTCTTCCCCCACCTGTCCCCCATTGTGTTTCTTGTGATAACCAGGACACACACACACACACACACACACACACACACACACTTGGTTGTGATTATCACTGTGTGGGGTGGAGCGATAGCACAGTGGTAGGGCGTTTGCCTTGCACGTGGCCAGCTGGCCTGGTGGAGCCAGGTTTGATTCCTCTGCCCCCTCTCGGAGAGCCTGGCAAGCTACCGAAAGTATCTCGCCCGCACGGCAAAGCCTGGCAAGTTCCCCGGGGCATATTTGATATGCCAGACACAGTAACAACAAAGTCTACAATGGAGACGTTACTGGGCCCGCTCGAACAGATCGATGAACAATGGGAGGACAGTGCTACAGTGGGCTGAGGGGCTGGGGTAGGTGACCTTGCACCTTTAGTTCTGCTTGCACGTGCACCAACTGGGTGTTGCATTTCTTGGTTCTGTGCTAGGCAGCAGTCACAGGCCTGGCAGTGATGTTTGCGTAGTTTTAGTGGCCACACATGCTCGGGATCACTTTAGCACTTCTCCAGTTGTGCTGTGGTGCACTCGGGTTTGCACACTTACAGCACCAGGGGTCCCAAACAGCCCCAGTCTGGAGAGATGGTGGCACCGGGACCAAATGCACTTCTTTACGCTTTCAGAACAGTTTATTCTGCCACAGAACCATCCTCAGGTCGGCCTGGTCTAGAGCAGCTTAACTCCAGTGTGGAAACCTAGAAGGTAGGGAAAGGGCCTCTTCATGATTTGGGAAGAAAAGATTTTTCAGTCAAAATGGTAGATAGTCTTATCGTCCATAAATCAAGCAGAAAGACCGTCTGACCACCAGCCAAACAAGGAAGAAAACATTTTTTATGATATTATTATGATCAAAATAATGTAAATACTGTTGCACTAACCAAAAATGATGGGGTATGACTTAACTATGTTAGGAGATCAGGATGTGCGGTTGAGCTTATGGAGGGAGCTATGAGATGCGTGATCTACTCTAAAATGTAAGCCCGTTGAATTCCATGCAGAATTTTGGCTTTAAGAGAACGAACAATTCCATTTGGTAGAAAACATACCATTTAAAGAAATGACTAAAAGCAGCCATTGGAAAGTGACCAAATGAAACAATGGTTTGCCAAGTGTTAATCACGGTCACGGTCCTCCCATTGTTCATCGATTTGCTCGAGCGGGCCCAGTAACGTCTCCATTTTGAGACTTGCTATTACTGTGTTTGGCATATCGAATACGTCCCGTGTTAATGATGAAGAATTGCTGCATTGGGCTAGAGTTGAGATTTTTGTGACTGTTTGATATATGACGTTGTCTTTTTCTCCCTGCCCCACTTTCTGCGTCTGTTTGTGCAGGAAACCCCACAGTTGTATTGTTTGTGGGTGCTGTGTTTGGTTTAGGGTTGATAACTGGGAAAGTGGAAATCTGAGAGATGTTGGAAGCAAGAAGGCCTTGGAAAGGGCGGAGATCATAATTCTTAAAAGAACAGAGTGAAAATCAGTGTTGATCTGTTACAGTCCAAGTCTTTCTGTCCAGAAATTACTTCAAAAAAGATAGAGCGGGACTGGAACGATAGCACAGCGGGTAGCCTTTCACGCAGCCGACCCGGGTTCGGTTCCCAGCATCCCATATGGTCCCCCGAGCACCGCCAGGAATGATTCCTGAGTGCAGACCGAGGAGTAACCCCTGAGCATTGCTGGGAGTGACCAAAAAAGCAAAAAAAAGAAAAGATAGAGCACAGGATAGATTTTATTCCTACTTAGGAAAGAAAAGGCGGTCCTCAATAAGCAGTGTGAGGTAAGCAAAAATTATTAGATTTAGCAGACAAAGGTGTTGAAGAATCACTGGGAATATGTCAAAGAATTGAAAACATCTTGAATAAACTTCAGCTAATTAGTACCTTCAAAGAAAAGGATCGTTTTGGCAGTTATATCGCTGAAAGTGTAGGGACCGAGAAGAAAAAGTTATCAGAAGAGTGAAACTACATGTTTGAAATGACAAGGAAGAAAATACAATTAAAATTAAAGACAGAAAAGTAGAAATTGGCTGATTCAAATAACCGAGGAAAAAGTCTGAAGCTATAGGAACAGATCTCAGACTTGTGGAATGGTATAGTGTTTCAGTAAGATATGTGCATGGAATTTCAGGAGGTGACGAGATAAAGAAAAGGTTAAAAAAAATGGGGCCAGAGAATACACAGATTAAGGTACTTGCTTTGCATGCAGTCGACCCCAGTTTAATTCATAACACCCCAGCACAGTAGGGCTCCCTAACAACTAACTGCCAGATATTTCTGCCCCCAGAAAAATTGTAGGAAATAAATGACGTGGAATCGTGGCTGAATTGGTGGAAAATATTACTGTTGGCGAATTTTAATGAACCTTAAGTAGGAAAAGACAAAGACCTCTTCAACTAACACAATCTATCCAGTTGAACAAAGTCAGAGGCTGAAAATCTTGAAAGTCCCAAGAGTGAAACGGAACATCACAGAGAAGCATTTTCATGGTAGACTGAGGCAGATTTATAGTTATAGATGATGACACAAAAGTAAGGCACACAAACTCCCGAGCAGGTGACTCCAAGCCCTTGTCAACAGTTCTATATCCAGCAAAGCTATCCTCCAAAAATAAAGGTAAATAGGACATTTTTATGTAAATAGGTGAAAATAATGCAGTGCTGATGGTATTTTCAATCCTTGCAAAATTTTTTCCCTTCCTTCCTTCTTTCCTTCTTTCCTTCTTTTCTTCCTTCCTTCCTTCCTTCTCCTTCCTTCCTTCCTTCCTTCCTTCCTTCCTTCCTTCCTTCTCCTTCCTTCCTTCCTTCCTTCCTTCTCCTTCCTTCCTTCTTTATCCTTCCTTCCTTCCTTCCTTCCTTCCTTCCTTCCCTCCCTCCCTCCCTCCCTCCCTCCCTCCTTCCTTCCTTCCCTCTCTACTTCTTTCTTTCTTTCTTTCTTTCTTTCTTTCTTTCTTTCTCTCTCTCTCTCTTTCTCTCTCTTCTTTCTCTCTTTCTTTCTTTCTTTCTTTCTTTCTTTCTTTCTTTCTTTCTTTCTTTCTTTCTTTCTTTCTTTCTTTCTTTCCTGTTTATGAACCACACCCTGCAATGCTCAAGGGTCACTTCTGGCTCTGCACTTGCTTTGCTCCTGGCAGTGTTTGGACTGATACGGGATGCTTGGGATTAAATCCTGGTCACCTGCATGCAGGGCAAGCACCCTCCCCACTCTGCTATCCCTCCAGCTCCCTAAAGAAACTTTTTTAGACTGAAGTGCAAAGTACCAAATGGTAACTGAAAGAAAGAAGAACACAGTCAGTGGAAATTATGTGATAAATTGCCTCAGAAACAAATGCTGAAGAGGTTAGCACAAAATTGAAACCACTCATTCCTTACAATTTTCCAGTTCTCTAAAAGTGGAACTTTTGTTATGGTTGCTTTGAGAAAGACAGAAGCCAATGATTATGCAGAATAGGAAGCTAATGTATGACTTCACAAAACCTGAAAAATCATCTCCTTCCAGAGAAGGTGAATCCAAAATAAAACAGCCCTATGGAATTGCTATCAGGAACCATCCCTTTTGGACTTTGGGGAGTTTCAAATCTTGAACCCAGTCAACAACTTGCGTTATGTAGAATACCAAATACCTGACAAAAAAAGTGCGAATTACAGATGAAGGAAAATAGGCTTCATTTATTATGAAAATTGTATTGCTTACCTTATTCTGACAGTTTTTCCAAATAGAGTATTTAGTGTTTACTCAAATGAAATGACCACACAAGTGAATTTGACTTCTGTTAATAACTAACAAAGATAACTAATAATGGATTTTTTATTGGAATTATCAGGTGTAAGTTTTAAATCAAACATGCTTATAAATGCAACAGTCAAAAAGACAGGCAGCTGAGAAGCTGAAAAGAATGAGAAACCAAAGCTAAGCATATTTAGAAAATATCTATTGCGGCTGGCATGATCGCACAGCGGGCAGGGCGTTTGCCTTGCACACAGCCAGCCCGGTTCGATTCCCGGCATCCCATATGGTCCCCTGAGCACCACTAGGGGTAATTCCTGAGAGCAGAGCCAGGAGTAGCCCCTGTGCATCGTCGGATGTGACCCATAAAACAAAAACAAAAAATCCAGGAATTTTTAAAACTTATAATAGAAATTAGACTATTTTTATTATAATTGAAATAAAATTTTGGTACTAAAATCCTGCGATTCTTCATAGTTTTTAAAGAAGGCAAAACAAATTAGAACACCATAGTGATGAGACATGATACATGTCTAATCAGATATCTTGGGGGAAAAGGAAAGTAGAATAGACCATAGGCAATATTTGAAATGATGATGGCTGAGATTTTACAAAAGTGGTGAAAAACTAAAATTTACAGATTTAAGAGCTGCTTTAAGTTCTAATTAAGGTCCAAGTGAAATAAACAAAAATAGATCTTTAATAGTACACATCAAAATGATACTTCAGAAAAATAAAAAACAAAATCTTCAACCAGCAAAAAATAGATAACCTTAAAAAGATCTGCAGTCAAACAGTATCAGAGTACAGAGAGAAATAACTGTTAAACTAGAATTTTGTAGCATGCTAAAATGAACTGATATGAAAAAAATCGAGAGGAAATTAAGCATGTTTTCTGACAAAAGCTGAAATTAGTTCACCTCAAATAGTTTGGTTTCTATTTAAAAGAGACTTGATCTGTAGATAAGGTAGAAAAAAATGATCTCAAATAAGTTTAAGTAGGTTTGGTAAAGAAAATAAGTCTGTATATAATTATAAATATTGACTATAAAACAACAGTTTATGAAGTTAAAATTATAGTTAAATAACTGTGTAACTACTTAACAGCAAGTATGAAAGGAATCATTTTATAATGTTTAAAGGTTGAATTCTGCATCGAATGACATAAGATTTAGGGGGGCTGGTGATATGTTTATTCAGTAAAGCCCTTTCCTTGATGTGTTAAACCCTGGGTTCATTTCCCAGACCCTCCAGCCAAATAATTGATAACAGTACTTGAAAATGGTCTAGTGAAAAACTGAACTTCAAAAAAAAATATTAAGTTTTATAATGGCTCCAAATAGAATTATTGATTTCATTTTTTATTTCTCTATTGAGTAATTACTTGTTCAGAATTCTGCTAGAAATGGCCTTCCGTCTTCTCAGAACAATAAGCTGAGTAACACATCATTTGTAATGAATGCATAGAATCGTTCCCTAAATATATCATTATTAATAGAACTCAGACTGTCCTCAACTTTCAGGCATTTGTTTTTAGTTTTTCCATTATTGTTATGAAGAGCAACTTCCTGGATGTCTTTTTTTTTTTTGGTGACCCCTAGTTTTGTAGCTGCTCTGTAGAAAAGAGAAAGCTTCTAGGCAAGTGAGCTGTAGTTGTGATGTGCCTATTTTGGGTGAGACGGGGTTCACCCAGAGGTGCTTACTCCCATTTCTGCCTTGGGGTTGACTCGTAAGAGTGCTCAGAGGACCACGTGGTGCAGGGGATCAAATAGGAACCTCCTGCATTTCAAGTATGTGCCCAACCCATTGAGCTCTCTTCCCGGCCCTTCTATGACTGAGGTATTTTTGTCTGTTTTTCTTTTTTAAAGATTCTTCCTTACATGTCCCCAAAAAGCTCCCTATTTGCTTTCGTCTTCTTCTGAAACAGCTGTGCTAGCTGAAACTTTAGAACTGTCTCCTTGAACGGCATTAAGATTTGTTGTCTTCAAGTGTCACTTGTAGAGAATTTTTACTAAATGTTAATTTTACCGTGATAGTTTGAAATACCATGATTTGAGACCAGCGTTACACATTGGACATGTTATAGTGTATTGGAGAGTTACTTAATTTTCTCGTTTTTGTTTCCAGAAACCGCGAAGTTTTATATGACAGAGATCATTATTCAGCCATCGGAGAGCGCTTTTTCCGTCATACCAAGGTACAAATAGCAAACAAGTCTACTTTGCAACTTCTCTTTCAAAGAACTGTAAAATTCATTGTTTAGGAATTCATTTTTATTTATACCTCTATTTGAAAAGCGAAAGAAGACGTTCGGAAAGGTCGTCGACTTAAACCACACAGATAAGGACTTACAGACTTAGTCATCGTTTCCTTCCATGATATTACAGTTAGAAGTGCTCTTAGACATTTTTTTAGTTCTGAGAGGTTTTTGTCTTCTCTTTTTGTCTTAGAAGGCCAAGGACTTACAGCTTAGTAGATATTTTTAATTACTGTTTCTCATGATAATTTGACATACTTTAATTTTGAAAGCTGAATCAGTTTTCAAATGACTGCTGCTTTTATTTATAAAGTTACTTAATCATCAAATCAATTAGCATTTCTTTTCTTTGTGTTTTTTTTGTAAACAAGAACTATATGTCATTGTTTTAGGTTTTTTTTTTTTTTTTTTTTTGCTTTTTGGGGTCACACCTGGCGATGCACAGGAGTTACTCCTGGCTCATGCACTCAGGAAGTACTCCTGGCAGTGCTCGGGGGACCATATGGGATGCTGGGAATCGAACCCGGGTCAGCCTGGGTCAGCCGCGTGCAAGGCAAACGCCCCTCCCGATCTGCTATCACTCCAGCCCCCTTGTTTTAGTTTTTTCACATCTAATAATCATGGCAGTCTGGATGTCACTGTTAAGTGCTGCTTTTTGTTTGTTTTTGTTTTGGGACATAGCCAGCAGTGCTTGGACTTCCTTCTGGCACTCAGCTCGGGGATCTGTCCTGGGGGGTCTTGGACGCTAGGGAAACCCTGTGTGGCCAGGTCCTTCCTGTTGTATTAGTGCTCAATAGTTTTGTGAATACGCTGGTTTTTTTTTTTTCTCCCTCTGAGAGTTGGAGTGTAGTGGTGAATACAAATTAAACCATTGAAGACAGTATTATTTAATATTCGGGAGGAAATTTTTCACGTACCTAATTTTTTCTTTTGGGGGGATAAGGAGGCAGGGACAGTAATTGGGCCACACTTGGCAACCTGGTGGTGTTCTGGGCTTTCTCCTGGCTCTGCTCTCAGGAATCACTCCTGGTGGACCTAGAGGACCATGTGTGGTGCCAGGGACCAGCTGCGGGAAGGTCAACCTACCTGCTGTACTGTCTTCACCCCCCACCCTCACCCCACTTCTTAAATGTAATTTCAGGGTCTGGAGCCATAGCACAGCGGGGAGGGCGTTTGGCTTGCCGCAGCCAATCAGGGTTTGATTCCCAGCATCCCATATGCCCCCCTGAGCACCACCAGGGGTAATTCCTGAGTGCAGAACCAGGAGTCACCCTTGTGCATCGCTGGGTGTGATCCGAAAAGCAAAAAATAAATGATTGAATTAGTTAAATGTAACTTCATTTAAATGTCTAAGAGCACAAATGGAATAATGTCTAGCAGAATTTTTTAAATTCTGTCACTGTCACTGTCCTCTCGTTGTTCATCAATTTGCTCGAGAGGGCCCAGTAACGTCTCCATCGTGAGACTTTGTTGTTACTGTGTTTGGCATATCGAATACGTCACGGGGAGCTTGCCAGACTGCCGTGTGGGCGAGATCCTCTTGGTAGCTTGCCAGGCCCTCCGAGAGGGGCGGAGGAATCGAACTCGGGTTGGCCGTGTTGGCTGCGTGCAAGGCAAACGCCCTACCCGCTTTGCTATTTAAATTCTGTATGAGGAATAATTAGATTTGGGTTAGAAATAAATTTTTTAAGTTTAGGTACTATTTACTTATTTATTGGTTTTAGGTCCACTCCTGGTGATGCTCAGAAGTTACTCCTGGCTCTGTGCTCAGGCATCACTTTCGGTGGGGCTCTGTGGATTATACCTGGGGCTGTGGGGATGGTACCTGGGTTACCTGCAAGCAAGGCAAGCACCCTACCTCCTGTACTATCTCTCTGGATTCTGGCTTGGAAAATCTTTTCGAATTGTGGAATAGAGTAATGGAAGAGTGGAACATACAAATCCATGAAAATGTATTAATAGTCACATTACCCAGGTTGGGAGGAAATGAATGGTCAGCATATTGAAAAGTCTAGCATGCACCTAGCTCTGTCTTTTAGCTACCCCAGGTGTTCATAGCCAGCTAGAGTTGATGAGAGCCACATTGTGAAAACAAACTGGTTTCTCTTGACACAGGTCCCAGTTTGTACAGAGCGTGATTGCCCGGTGTTTGGTGGAACTCTCTTCAGCGAGAAGCACTTTCAGATTCACTATTCAAGATCCTGAGGGCAAAGTCTACATCTTGGTGAGAAATGCCTTCATCCAAATGTTTATCGTCCAGCAATCCAGAGTCTCAGAAATATTTTTAATTTTTCTCGTCTTTTTTTTTCTTCAGTCCCCAGGCCTAGAAAACAAAGGATCAAAAATTATATTTTAATAGCAACTTAATTCATAAATCAGATCTGTTAATTTAACAATAAATTGCCAAGTGCAAGTGCGTTTCAAGGTTAGGGACTATGGAGAGAAATGGAAACCCGATTCTTACACCATGAAATGAGGTCTTTTACCCTTTTTCAAGGAGTTCATTGAAACTTTCTTGTTCACCAGTAGTACACAGTTGTCATGTTCACTGTTTTTACATGTATTCTTTTTTCAGCACTGGGATTTACAAAACTGTTACTAATAGTTCCAGGCGAACAGTGTTCCCGTTGCACACCGCCCGTGTCAGCGTCCCTCCACCAAGATTCCCCACTCACATCTCACCCCTTCTTCATCAACTTTGAAAAGAATGATTGTCTTTCATGAGCCATGAGTGGCTCTCCGGCACGGCCATAACACCGGACACACAGAAACCAATCTCGTAATTATCTGGCTCTTTGCAGAAATCCAAAATCATGGCTGCGTGACATTATATGATTCATTCATATGATTCTCATAACCAGCTATAGAAAACAAAATATTTTACAATGCCTTTTCAGCAATTCTGACTGTTTGGGGGGGAAATTCTAAAACAATAATGGTGCATCTTTTGTCAAAATAATGAATGTAATCAATGTAGAGAAGAGTTAAGTAGAAATCATCTGCCTCACAGGCATTGGGAGGGGTGGGAGGGGGGGTATACTGGGGTTCTTGGTGGTGAAAAATGAGTACTGGTGAAGGGAAAGGGGTTTGATCATTGTATGACTGAGACTTAAACCTTAGTAACTTTTTCCACAGTGATTCAATAAATAAATATAAGAAGAAAAAAATTAAAAAATTAAGGTTAAAAAAAAAGGAATGATTGTCATTTGGGTCACATGTTGACAGTAGTGTCAATGCTTGTGATTGACATGTACAGGGTGGCCTCATGTCACCCCTGGCAGTTGCCCAGGACCCGTGTGACCTTTTATTACCTCAAGACTACTTCATCATCTCTTCCCATCCACTTGGCCTTTGCGGTTTGTAATCCACGGCCAAGGACTTGTCGGTATCCAAACTGTTCATGCACTGTATTATACGGTAGATTTTTAGAATCTATGTCTTTTGCCTAACAGACTCTATAACCGTAGATTAGTAACTACTCATTTCTTCCTTCCTCTGCTCCTGATAGCCACTTTCCTACTTTTCTGCTTCTCTATAAGTTAGACTGTTTTCAGTGCCTCATGTAAGTGGAACATACACACCTTTTGTCCTGACTTGTCTCACTGTGCATGATGACGAAGTTTATCCATATCAAGTGTGTACAATATTTATCTCTTCATTCATTCATTCATTGATGAGTATATGTATGTCGTATTTTCTTCATCTATGTATTCATTCTTGGATATGGATATTCTTTCTACATTTTTGCTATTGTAAATAGTGCTGAAGTCAATATTAGAGTAAGATCCTAATATCAAGACATAGTCAAGAAGTAGTGATAGGGTTTTTTTAACTTTATTGATTCACCTTGAGATCTAGTTACAAGCTTTCATGTTTGAGTTACAGTCAGACAATGACCAAACACCCCTCCCTCCACCAGGGCACATTCCCCACCATCAATATCCTCAGTAACCCCCCCCTCCCCCCCCGCTTTCCCATCCTCCGAGTGCCTCCATGGCAGACAATATTCCCTGTACTCTCTCTCTCCTTTTGGGCATTATGGTTTGCAATGCAGATACGGGAAGGTCATAACCTTTGGTCCTTTATCTACTTTCGGTACACAAGTCGTGATAGGTTTTGAAGAACAGACTACAATTAGTAAAATCATCCTCTACATATACTACGTATATCTAATCTTATGCTACCTTTATCAAGAATAATCTGGGACCAGGAAGATAACTCCATGTGTGAGGTTCTGAGTTGGATCATACGCTCCTGAGAGCCCCCCAGCACTGTGATGTAGCCTGAGGGTCTTCGAGCACTGAACCATCAGACTCAGACCACACAGAGAGCACTGCTAGAAGTGGCTCCTATTAAAATAGATAGGTTGGAGCTAGAGGAAATGTACAGGTTTAAGGCGCTGGCCTTGAATGTGGCCAATCCCACTTAGTACATGTCCCCAGCTAGTACATAGTCTCCCGAGTACTTCCGAGAGCAACGTCCAGCACAGAACCAAGAACAGCTCCTGGCATTGCCAGGCATGCCGCAAGACCTGCGGGAAAAAAAGAATTAGATTCATGTCTAATAACCCACAAATGAGAACCTGAATAGGACTTCTTCCATAAGCTGTCTTATTTAACCTATAAAATATTCTCTGATGCCGGGCTGGAGAGATAGTACAGTGGTCAGGGCGCTTGCATTGCGTGTAGCCAACCCAGGTTTGATTTCCGGCATCCCGGAAGGACCCCTGAACCCTGCCAGAAGTGATCTCTGAGCCCAGAGCCAGGAATAAGCGCTGAGTACCTCTGGCTATGGCAATCCCCTCACCCCACCCCCCCCAAATATATATACTAAGTGATGCTTGTTTGAGAGAGACACAATTAAGGTGCTTATTTAGGGAACTCAGAAGCTAGTAGGAAACCATGGGAGCGAAAAGGAGGGAAGGGCTTTGCGGATATCGTTATTTGTGGTTTTGTAGTGAGCCTTTCATTAAGGGGATCCTATACTTCTCTGATCCTAGGGACTGCCTATCAAAAGCTAAAGTAATTTTGGTTTGGGGTCACACCCAGCATTACTCAGAATTTAGTCTTGGCTCTGTGCTCAGGGATCATCCATGGCAGACTTGGGGGACCATGTGGAATGGCTGAGGATGGCGTCCTGGTCGGCCAAGTGCAAGGCAAGCGCCCTACCCATTGTATTATCGCTCCGGCCCTGCTAAAACAAATTTTAATGGAACTTGATGCAAAATACATATCATAGTCATCTGAAATGAATTTTCTTTTCAAATTAGTTTTCTTAAGTTTTTCAAGTTGATTATCAGGAGTATGATTTTTTTTTTAAAGGTAACACTTGTAGACATTTTTCTTTCTTTTTTATAAAACTTAGACTTTTTGAACCACATTCAGATAATGTCAGGAACAAAAAAGAAATAATTCTGTCTTCTCTCTGCCTCAGCAAACACTATTATAATGGTAATTAGTATGTGCAGTTTAATATGTACATAAGGGCCGTAGATACTTCTTCAAAACAAAACAAAATCATGCGGTTTGAATTTTTCTTCAGTATATTTCACATAACACTATGCCACCAGGACTTGTTAATGTAAAGCCATTTTCTCCCTGCCCCTTGGAGGGGGCACTGGACCCATCTGTTAGGGGTGGTAGTAACCGAGGGCATAACTGGGGGCGTTTTGCAGTTTATTCACTTCAAAAAAGGTAGATTCACAGGAGGTACTGTGATTTTTTTTTTTTGAATAGAAAAAAAGTAGGTCAAATAAGTTTGGGAACCTGTGGAAAATAGATAAGACTTTTTGTTTTGTACCAAAAAATAACTGTGCTAATTTATCCATGACAGTGAATACTCTCAGCCCTAGAAACTGCAGTATCTGCTGGCTTTTTCCTCCAGGGATTTGTCCTATGCCGGCAGATGTTCCTTGCCAAGGAGGGCGCCTGTTTTCCTCTGTTCCCTCTCCCCTCCCCTTGTGGCCGCGGTCAAACTGCTGCCAGATGATTTGACTCTCATCACAAAACCGATGGGGCACCCTCCAAAGGTGGGAGGGCCCAGTCTGTAGGCACTGCACGCTCCAGGGCTCCATGGATTCTCTGCACCCAGACTCCAGCTGTGTCCGTTCACACCCTTGCTCATCTCCGTTCCTTGCTTTGCCCTGTTCCCTCACTCTGTCTCCCGAGACCGCCTCCTTAATGAAACACCTGTATCCCAATATTACGCCACTCTTCCACCAACAGTGGTGTACAGAAAGACCCTCCAAAACACTGCTCTGAACTGCACGTGACCCGTCTTTTTTTTTTTTTTTTTTTTTTTAGTGAAACACCATGAGGTACAGCTGTAAACTTACAAATTTTTGTGCTTGGGTCTCAACCATACAATGATCAAATACCCATCCCTCCACCAGTGCCCATTTCCCACCACCACGGGTCCCAGCATCCCTCCCACCCTTCATCCCCCCATCCTCCCCTGTCTCTGTGGCAGGGCAATCCCCTGTGTTCTCTCTCTCCTTTTGGGTGTTGTGGTCTGCAAAAGAGGCATTGAGTGGCAAACATGTTCAGTCCATAGTCTACTTTCAACATGCATCTCCCATCCTGGGAGGATCCTCCTGTTTTGATTTGGCCAAAAACCTTGCCCCTCGTGTACAAAAGATGCTTGACTTCAGATTTCCTTTTTTTTTTTTAAGTGAGCTGGGAGACCCGTCTTTTTGTACTTGTCAACCTGATAAAAGGGGAAAGGGATAGAACACAAATCTTGCATTTTCTCGTTATTGGTGATAATTAAAATTTAAATATTTTGAAGTTTGTCACTATTTCTTCTGTTAATTCCATTCCTTTCTTTGCTGATGTCTGTATTGGTATGGGTCCCCCATTCCCACACTGTTGATTTCTGGGAGCCCTTTCTCCTGTAGGTAGTAGCTTTTTTAATATTTGTATTAAGTAATTTTCCTAAGTGGTTGTCTTTTTCTTAGTTCCGTGATGTTGGTTATTCTACCAGTGATTATGCTTTGGAAGGCTTGCCCTGCCTGTAAAAATTACGTGCACTAAGGGTTGTTTAAAGTTCTGATGATCACAGACAAAATATAGTTCTTGTTATTTAAGTCATTTCTTTGATTTCTGAAGTTTCCAGAATGGTCTGTGCATTCAAAAGTAATGAATCTAATAAGTATTTGGTTTTTTTTTTTTGGACACTCTCTGTTGATGGTTTGCATTTTCAGGAGGGCATTCGAATTTACCTTCTTTTGTGATTGCATTCGTTTCTTTGAAAGTAAGCTAATCCAGCATAATATTTGACATTCTGAAAATCCAACATAGAGCACCTATTGGAGTTTTACTTTGTTGATAACAAAGTGATATTCTGGTGGGGGAAAATTACATACGTAACTTTCCTGCTTTTCTTGTATTTTGATAGCTTTATATTGTTTTTTTTTTGTTTTTTGAGTATGGTATGAGGTATGAATAGGGTGGTAATATCCTCCTCACACTTGAACTTTTCTGTCCTTATCTTCAGCTGTGGCTCTTAAACTCAGACAGTTTGGTGATTGACTCTTTGAGAAGTTCCAGAAGAATACAAAGAAGCATCCAAAAATTTCCCCTGTTGGAAGACCAATTGCAAGCTGATCCCAGTTCCTCTTGGAATGCCGTCAAAGTTCTCTATGTTCCATGCATCAAAAGCAGGAATGAAGAGTAAGTTAGGATTTTGTTTTCTCATTCCATGTTATGATTTAGTTTCTGTTTCCCCATTGGTGTTAAAAAGGGGCTGAGGTGAGTCATGGTTTCATTTTCCTGCTCCATGCGTATGGTTTAGAACTGGGGCTGTCCTCCCATTGTTCATCGATTTGCTCAAGCAGGCCCAGTAGAATCGGGGCTAGAGAGACAGTATAGCAGGTAACTATAGCACGCCTTGCACGTGGCTTACCTTGCGTTTCATCCATGGTACAGCATGTGATTCCTTAAGCACCAGTAGTAGTAAGTCCTGAGCACACATGGGTGTGACCAAAAAATAGAGAGAAACAGAAACAGTGAGAGACACAGAGAGGTGAATTAAATGGTATTATGCAATTTCACTGTCACTGTCACTGTCCTCCCGTTGTTCATCGATTTGCTTGAGCGGGCCTAGTAACGTCTCCATTGTGAGACTTGTTGTTACTGTGTTTGGCATATCAAGTATGCCACGGGGAGCTTGCCAGGCTCTGCCGTGCGGGCGGGATATCTCGGTAGCTTGCCAGGCTCTCTGAGAGGGGCGAAGGAATCTAACCTGGGTTGGCCTGGTCGGTCGCATGCAAGGCAAACGCACCCCACTGGGCTATCGCTCCAGCCCTTATGCAACTTACTTACTTGGAATTTCTAGAAGTTGTACTGCTAAATATTATGCTTTCAAAGTAGATTGAATTATTATAGATGACTCATGCTAATATGCAGAAAGCTTGCTTTTATGGAAAGTAATTGTCCTTTTGTTGTAATCTCAGCTGTCTGTACATATGGTTGGAGACTTAAATCAGGCTTCAGCAACTATGAATATTTACTGATAAGCACCTTCTAATCATTTGGGATACAATTTCGAACAAAATATATAACCCCTGAAATACGGACAAATAAATCAAAGGTGGATATGTTTCTTAATGTGAATCTTTCACTTCCAATTTAAGTCTTAATTTAAGTCTACCTACAACCCCATGGGATAGGTACTATTATGAAAAGATAAGAACCCTAAAATGCAGGTGTTAAATTACTCTGGTAAAATATAAAGAAAGGTAATTAGAATGTGCCAGGATATGTGTTTCATGTTGTGCTTTTGTATTGAAAACTTAGTCCTCAGATAAGATGATATTTCAGTGGGAAAGTAAAGGAAATAAAAACATCAAGGCTTATCTGAGGGAAGAGATGAGTGTGTGTGTGTGTGTGTGTGTGTGTGTGTCACAAATCACAATTTTCAAGCAGAGGAATCATTGATAAAATGTGATTTGAAAGTTCTCCATCATGTTCTTTCCAGAAATAAAGATCATCTGTGTGTAGTACCCCTCTTTTTTCTGTTTATTTTTCATCTTATAATTAGAATAATATTTATGTCCTCATTTTTATTTGTATTTAAAAGATTTGAAGTATCGTTGGTTTATGCCATTATAAGTTTTAGATATTTTAAACCGATGTCTTTATGTTGTCCACATGTAAATATCTTTTTTACATTAAGCAAATAAACAAAAAGTGTAGGCTAGAAAGATTATGCAGAGATGAAAACACTGTGTTGCAGGCAGCTACCCCTGATTTAGTCTCCACCACCATTGCATCTGGTCCACCAGATACACCCAGGAGTGATCCTTGAGTACAGGCCAGGAATAAACCATGTTTTTTTTCTGAAATTAAGTCCTGATGTGGCCCTCAAGCCAAACCAAACGAACTGTGACTTGGATATTATTTTCCAAGTCTGTGCTAAACATTTTATGAAAGCATTTTATTATAAATAATTTAATCATATTTCTATTGCTATTTAGATTATTTTTGATGTTGCAAATAGTATTGCATTGTATAGTATTTGTTTTGTGATTATATCTTGTTTTTTAAATGAGGGGTATCTAGAATTGGAATTATTGAGTCAAAGAGTATGATGTTTAAAATTTTGATAGACAACATGAAATTGTTTTCTACATAAGCTTTATATTTGTATTCCCATCTGGTTTCCTTAAAAGCTAGATTTCCTACACCCTCACCCAAACTGTCATTTAAATTTTTGCTCATATGATACCAGTCTAAATGAAACAGGTACTGTTGCCTTATCTTTGTGTTTCATTGAAGTTTTCTGTGGCCACTGTCACTGTCACTGTCCTCCTGTTGTTCATCGATTTGCTCGAGCAGGCCCAGTAACGTCTCCATCGGAGACTTTGTTGTTACTGTGTCTGGCATATCGAATACGTCACGGGGAGCTGGCCAGGCTCTGCCGTGAGGGCGAGATACTCTCGGCAGCTTTCCGAGAGGGGCGAAGGAATCGAACCCAGCTTGGCCGGGCGGGCTGTGCACAAGGCAAACACCCTACCCGCTGTAGGGCTGCAGCCCTTTGCTGAAGTATGACCAGAAAATATACTTACATGTTATCTGTTTTTACCTTTTTAGCATTGTATTATTATCAGAAATTAATAATATAAAACTATGATTAATTTTTTTGCACTACACCTGATGTTGCAGAAACTATCATTCCCTAAGGCTTTTTTTAAAGGATAAAAGTAAATAGTCTTGAGATGATTTAGAGGAATATATAGTTACATAGTCTGCTAAAAACTCTGTGTGTTAATTTATTGAATGTGTGCGAATCTGTTGCTATAATGAATGAATTGGTGTTACCAACCCCATAAAGTGTTTCATTAAGCTATCTCAAGTTAAATCTGTTTCCCTCGCAAGTCACAGAATAGCATGGTTTATGCTTACTAATTAGGAACATTGACTCTGCAAGTATAGTAATAAGCATATCTCAAATATGAACATTAAAGTCTTATGTGCAAGCCGAATAAAAGCCACATTATTGGGATTCCCAATTCAGTGCTTTTCATATACTCTTTTTCTAGCATATAATCTCTCACCATAAAATTTTAGACCTGTAGTTTTCACTGTAAATCTATTATATCTTTGGGATCAGTACCCATAGTTGTTTCGAATGCATCAAGCATTCTTATTCTCAAATTTTATTACTAACGATACTCAGTAAATACTTAGACATCCTAATGGGTAATATAATAGCACGAACTTACGATCTAAAGTATTTTTCTGTCTTATCTTAAAAATCAGAACTTAAGACTACAAATAGAATCTTTCCCCAAGAAGTCTTAGTATAATTGTCCGTTGTAAGGAAATTAATCTAAAAATGCATGAAAGTAATCATATGCTTCTGGAAAAATACCAAATGCTTCTTTGGAAAGCACATTCTTCTTATTTATCTATTACTACCCATAGGTATCAAGATTACCATCCAGAGAGCAGTCTTCCTTATGAAGCAAGTTGCGCATGTAGTGCTTTGATTTAAGTTGGAAAAATCTCTCCTTTGGGTAGTAGATGATGGACTGTGTAATGTAAATTCGGGTATACCTTATTTGTAATTGCTGTACTTTCAATTATTTCATCTTACTCATTTAGAAAGATAAAGGAACAATACTGTGACATATAATAAAAGTGAGCCATTTACTTAGAGAATTCAATCGAAACAGATTTTCTATGCCAAAAGCATTTCTAAATTTTCCTACGAGAAAAGCATTTACTCTCCTGGAATTGCTTTTATGGGAAGAAATTTGGTTTCCTTGCTCTGATGAAACATTGTGAAAAAAATATACATCTGTGACCTGTGAAGTTTAAAAGAGGGAAGGGGCCCGAATTGGATAAAGGGAAGGAAGAAAATATGTATGAAATTTTTTCTTCCTATATTTTCTAATCATGTGTTATATTTGGGTTGGGGTCACTCCTGGCAGTGCTCAGGAGTCACTCGGCTCATTGCTCAGGGATACCTTTTGGCAGGCTCAGGGGACCATAGGGGAGATCAAACCTGGTGAATTGTGCACAAGATGAACACCTTACCTGGTGTCCTATTGCTCCAGCCTTTCATTACTTATTTTTATGATTAAAACCTAAAGTAGTTGTTTTTAATTTTTACCTTAGGAAGACTAAGTTTTTCTTTTGATTTCTTGTTTTGCTTTGTTTTAGGGCCACACCCAGCGGTGCTTAGGGGTTACTCCTGGCTCTGCACCCAGAAATTAATCCCAGAAAGCGCAGGGGACCATATGGTGTGCAGGGGATCCAACCTGGGTTGGCTGCATGCAAGGCAAACACTAAACTGACTTTACTGTAGCTCTGGCCCAGGTTTTTCTTTTTCTTTCCATCTCTTTCTTTCTTTCTTTCTTTCTTTCTTTCTTTCTTTCTTTCTTTCTTTCTCTCTACTACTGTATTTGGTAATGTATGTGGTATTTCTTTTTAGTTTGTTTTTGAACCACACCTGGCTATGTTCAGGAATTTGACTCAGGGATCACTCGGACTGTGTGAGCAACCAAATGTGGTGCCAAGGATTGAATCTGGGTTGTCACTGGCAAGGCAAGTGCTTTATCTCTGTACTACCTCTCAAGTCCCATTGTATGTAATTTTAAAGCAAGAAAGCAAACATTTCTGCTATAAAGGAATTTGGTGTTAAATCAACATTGGTCAGTGTACTCCTTCCAAAAAATTTTAAAGAAAAATCTGTTTACATGAGGAAGAGAAACATATTTTCTTTCCTTTTTCAAATTTTAATTTTTTTTTTTTAAAAAAAGGGAAACCTTGGTCAATGGGATTTGCAGTTTTCCAATACTGTTAGTGATAGGGTTTCGTGAATACAACATCCCAACACCGACACCTCACCCCCACCAGAGTGTCCATTTCCCTCCACCGCTGCCTGAGGGTCTCACTCAGCCACCCCACCCCAAAACCCCTGGACCCTCCCTACATCTCACTGTCATGGTCAGCATCATTCTGTAGACCAGTTCTTATATTCTGTTGCTTTTGGTCTTTTGCTGTACCACCGTGCTTGCTTTCACATAAGAGAGAGATCAGCTCTCTCTGTCCTCTCCTGGCTGACTTCACTCAACATGGTATGTTCAAGTTCCATTCCACATAGCATCAAATTGTATGATTTCATCTTGTCTTATAGGCGAGTAATTTTCCATTGTGTATATAAT